GAAGCTGTTTCATTCCTCCACCATCCCTTGAGATTAGGGCAATCAATTAGATAAAGACTCTCTAAGGAGGGAAAGAAGGTCGTCGATGGAGAAGCAGCTGTCATCATCATCATCTCATCACTGGCAAAGTCCTTAACCTTGTCTTCTGCTGATATGTGTTCCAAATTCCTTAAGTCGTGAAGAGTAAGACTCTTAAGAAAATGTAAATGATCCAACGGTGGAAGATGTTGGCATCTAGCACAGTCATACAATATGAGATTAACAATATTTGTGAGAGAATGAAACCAACTCGCCATCACACCCATATAGTACTCCACGGTTAACTCTCTAAGACTTGAATGGGGCTGCAGCGCTTCCATTGACTTAATAATTACATCACTCTCCTTCTCAACCACATCACTACTTTCTCCTTTGATGCGCATCCAATGTAAAGTCAATGAATAGAGATGTCGTTTCTCCTTCAAAACTGAACCATCATAATTCAATTTTGACACCATATCTTTTTTGTACCTCAAATTTATGATCTCCAACTTTCCTCTTAAATCCTTCAACTTCCCCAACTCACCGAGTCCTGCACTGTCCCTCAACATGGAATTGTTTTTGCTCAAAACAAATCTCTTCAAAGTACGAAGATAAGTCATTTGACCCAATCCAAGAGGAATTCGAGCCAAGTTATCACAACCTTCCAAAATGAGATGCCTCAAGTTGATCAATTTCTTAATATCTCTAGGCAGTTCCACAAGACAGGAACACCATGTGAGATCTAGTGTTTCCAAATTTTGAAGTTTGACTATCCAATTTGGAAGTCTCTCAATGAGATTCCTACTGAGATCAAGATATCTTAAATGTTTCATTTTCCTAAGACATTTTGTCAATTTTGTAATTCCCAAATTATTCAAACTCAACATACGCAATGACTTAAAATTTGAAGCAATTGTAGCATAAAATGAGTTATGGAATGACTTGTTCTGCCACCTTTGTCTTAGGAAAAGAAAAGTCCTTACCTTATTTGATTCCAGCAAGGATGTTGGTATTTTCCATTATGACAAATCAACATGAAAATCGAAAGATACATGAAGATGACGTTTTGCATCAAAATCAGTCTTGTTGCGATCTATTATTGTGCTTCCCTCCCCTGCCACTTTAACAACAAGTTCATTCATGAGATCATGCATTTTACAGCTTCTTATTATACCAAACTAATCTTTTTCTTCTTCTTGGAAAAATGATCTCCAAACTAGTTCGTTATAATATTCATAACCAACATCTTCCAAGCACTCATTAGGATTTGAAGACTTAACGAACCCTTGTGCCACCCACAGCTTAATTAAAGTCTCTAAAGGAATCTCATAATCAGGCGGGAACAAACTACAATAAGCAAAACAATGTTTCAAATGTGATGGGAGAACATCATAACTCAGCTGAAGTGTTGGTAAAATATCATTTTCTTCTTGCCTTATTGTTGAAAGCTTGTTATTCTTGAAAGCCGACCGCTCAGTTTCTGGATCTCTAGTGTACAACATCCGTTCTGTGGTCCTTATAGCAAGCGGAACCCCCTTACATTTTCTAGCAATCTCCTCCCCAAGGGCCTTAATGGTTGAACTCTCTGGCTCTTTTCCCTCTTTGAACGCCATTTTCTTAAATAAAAACCAAGACTGCTCTTCATTCAAGCCCCTTAAGTTATATGGTTCAGCTATATGCTATATTTGCAACGTTTTTACTACGAGTAGTTATTAGAATTCTACTCCCTTCTGCACCACCCATCAACAAGTCTTTCAAGCTAAGCCATTTGTTACGATTCTCATTCCACACATCATCTAACACAAGGAGGTATCTCTTCCCATCGATCTTCTTCCTAAGCTCATTTTGCAACTGATCCATGTCAAGGTTATCCGCTTTTAGGATTTTCTTAACAACTATATCCAACTGAAATGAATTAGGGACACATGTCCACATTTTCAGCTCAAAATGCTTTTGGACCTCTTCATCGTTGAATACGAGTTGGGCAAGTGCAGTTTTTCCCATTCCTCCAAATCCCACAATGGAAATGGTGGACACATTCTCTGTATTCTTTGTATTCTCTGTAGAGATGGGTTGCAACAGAAGTTGAATAATTGCTCTTTTATCTTCATCTCTCCCTATTATATTATCCTCCCGGACAAATGAGTGAGTGGCCCTCTCTCTTCTTACAAATTCTACATCTTCACGATTCCTTTCTAATTGACCAAATGTTCTATTCGAGGCAATCTCATGAAGTCTCTTGTTAAGATCTTTTGTCTTAGAGCACTTCTAGCGCTAAGCATTAACCCAGGCAAAAGGCCCCCCGAAGCCCAGTTTCGCACTCCAGTGCAGGAAATCCAGCCCAGGCAAGGCATGGGACCCACCAGCCCGGGCAAGCCTACAGGCATAAATTGACTGGGCTGTTGCCCTCGGGTTGCTGACATTAGCAGCTGATTTTCAAATTTTTTTTTATTGTTGGACCCACCAACCCACATTGCCCAATGGTTACAAGCCATGTGGCTTCAACTAGAGCCTCCGATAAAAAAATCTTGCACAATCCAACGGTTGTTCAATTTTTGGCTAATAAAAAAATAAAAAAAAATAAAACAGTTTTAAAAAAAATATCAAAAAATTCTGGAAATTTTTTCTATACATACCTACCAATATTATTCACTTTCCACACCAATTTAATTTCAAAATTTTATCCGAAAATGTTATCTTGATTTTTAGGTGAGGATTTTACGATAAATATTAACACTTGGGAATTGAAAATCTTATCTTAAAAGCTTATCAAAATCAATGCTTTAAGTATAAAAAATAAAAAATAAATTTAAGTGAATAGTAATTGCCTTAGACTTGCCATAGACTTAGCCCTCATGGGTGGAACCACAAATGGCAAGGCTAACATTATTCACGTGAATAGTGGCAGCCCTTGCTTGCTCTTGCCCTAGACTTAGCCCTTGTGGGTGGAGATGCTTTGATCGTGGCAATTCCAAAAGATGCCAGCCATCTACTTTTTATATTAAATTACTAATACTATAAAATATCATGGTTTTCATATCAATTATTATCTTCTATGGGCATGCCAATTTTTTATTTTTTTTATTTCTAAGCTTATCAATTTTTATTTATTTATTTAATAGGCTTTTCAATGTTTTGCATAATTTTACATTATAATTAAGATATCAACTATGAGATAATGTGTGCAATTAAAATTTTATATAAAGAGAGATAAAAGATAATACAAAGAATACCAACATTTGGTATAGTGATAGTTATTTCTATTTGATTGGAGTTGGTTTTAAATTCGACTTAAATAGACAAGAGATTGATACCTATTATGGTAAGTTTGATTTTATTGGATTAATACTGGTTAAATTTCCCAAAAGGGGAATGCTAGCTATATTTCTACCTGAATTAATACTGAGATATATACCAATAAATCTGCACTACCAACCGTAGTTTGTCTTAACAAGTTTACCTGAATTATGTCATTTATAAAGTGGCAGTAGGTAGTAGCTGGCTGTCTCTGCGAGTTAGTTTCATCTTTGGTTTTCCTGCTTCTTTACCCAAAAATAAAATAAAATGAGGCAGCGTAATAATGGGTTGTGATCAAACGAAATCTGGAATTTACCATAATATTGAGAGAAATCTCATGATTTATTGATAATTATAATAGGAACAACAACCCTAATATCTTAGTTAAAGTTCGTTTAAATACTACCTCAAACCCTAGTACTACTAGGAATACTAATTGGAATCAAAATACAAAAAATACAAGTTTCTCCAACACGGCAGAATTTGTGGATCATTCTGTTGAAATATCAAATACAAGTTGTGCCATTAAACCAAATTGTGAGAAATTCCCAATTTCTTCTATAAAGAATTCAACTTCTGTCATTGATCATGGTTTCTGCAAACCAACTCAAAATCTTGCAATCCCCAATTGTGTCCTTGATTCCTACTGTTAGTAGTTGAGTAAGTGTTAAACTGGATGATACAAAACAAATTATGTGACTTGAAAATTTCAAATGGAGACGATCTGCTAGATAAACATGGAATTACGGGATTTGTTCGTGGTTTCTTTTATAGCAAATGTGATTGATGATTCTGGGGTTACTGAAGATTCAGAGCTCAGTTACTTGCTGAGGAAGCATCCCTTGAACGAGTCTCCAAACAGATACCTTGCTTGGCTACACTACAATGTTTGCTAAGAACCAAGATCAGGGTTCCACATGTTCCTCTACTAAATTTTAGGTTCAGATTCTGGTTCTTTTGAATATAATCAAGTTCCTAATTTCATGCCAATGTTGGCTAAGAATCAAGACCAGTGTTCTCTTGGATCAGGATCTTATGGCTCAAATTCTGAATCCTCTGTGGTCTAATTTCTGTCGGCAACAAAGAGGGGTTCAGAGGCTGTGGTAACTCTTGCTGCACCTCGTCGGTTATGATATTTCCTCCTTAATACTTGATCAAGAACAAATTTATGTTACAAAAGATGCACATCCGTCTATATGCATGTCTTGTTTAGATGGCAAGTTGTGAAAATTGCCTTTTTCAGTCTGTGCTTACATTCTGAATCAGTTCTCTATTCTATTAAAACATTCCAAAGTGATTTGGGGAAGAAAGAATATATAAGCACTGCTGAATACAACTATAACAGTCCCTCCAGCTTGAGTGATTGTGAGAAATTGAAATTCCTAAGGCTGCATTTGAATGAAAGTATTTGAGATGGAGATGGATTTGAGAAATAAAGGGTTGAGAAATAAATTTCAACACTCGGGAGATGAAAGAGATAGAGAATCAAAAGAACAAACAAACATTCACACACAAATCAAACACCATAGAGTTACGTGGTTCACTCATAATTGAGCTACGTCCACGAGGTTGCTAGGGTTTTTCACTAATTGAATACGAATATTACACGTACAAGACCACTCAAGTTTGTTCCAATCTGGTTCGGAATAGGAAACAAAACAAAAAATAAACAAAAAATAAATTTAAAAACACGAATTCAGAACGGAGGAACGTTGCTCAACACTGCAGCACAAGATACCACACTTGGGATAGTGAAGCTCTCTCAACTGCTGAAATGCCCCACAAGACTTGAGCACACTTCGAACCACACTCTTCCGGCACTCTTGCAATTTTCCAGTACTCCTACAAGGTCCCTGTTCCACAAAAGCTATTATCAACTTAATAGAACTAGAATGAAGTTTATGCAAGTGATATAACCAAGCACAAAAAGTGATAATGCACGCAAACCAGACACAAGGATATAATATGTGAAACAAAAATCACATGCACATCATATGGAACATTATCTATCTGTTTGTGTATATAAGCCTACATGTAGTAGCTCAAGGGTCGAGTCAATTGTGCATTAACAGGGAACATACATTTGAATGATGGCTATTGGCTTTCTTCACTCCATCTGTTTCTTCTTCTCTCCGCTGCATATGTATGGAAGTAACTAGATCGAAAGTAAACCAATGTTAGTACCATATGAACAATTTTTTTAAGAATTGAATAACTGAAAAATATTTGTTTGATCCGTGGAAATATATAACAATTACATATGATGAAGTAGTTACCTATTATTCTTTTGCTAGTTTTTCAGAAGCCATAACGCCATCTAAGCTTAAAGAACACTTGGTCATGTTCGTTTCAGTATTTTATTTATTCTCATGAATACGTTTCAGTTAGAATTACCTAAATTCATCACATGTACAAGTTACAACTGAGTCACTTGTATGAAGTTTCTTCTTTTAATCACTGCATATCCATGAAAGAAAAATAAGAAACAAAACCGAATGTAATTATCATCATGTGAGCATACCAACAACAAAACAATGTTAGGATCAAGGGCTCATCATCTAATACATACATACCACATTCTTGGTGGCCTGCTGTTGCACAATCACAATCAAGCCATAAGCTTTCTTAGTGCTGACGCCATCCTCATAAACCCAAGACTTGATATTCATGATCATGAAGAAAATGAACAAGCTGAGGTTGGTCGCCATTTGAATGAAAGTGTGAATTGAAAAGAAATAAATTAGTTAGAAAAACGCACCTGTCTATGATAAATTCTGGGATGTGAGCAATCTTAGACCAGTCCTCACCTGTTTCTTTCTGGCATCTTTGCTCTAAGATGGGGCAAGAATCAATTATCAACGATTTTAATGAGGCAAGGCAACGAAACCCTTCTGGGAGTGATGCCAAATTAGGACAATCCTTAATTATGAGGTCCTGGAGTAATGTGAGGTTGCCGATCCCTTCTGGTAGTGATGCCAAATTAGGGCAATGATGAAATTCAAGCTCCTGGAGTAATGTGAGGTTGCCAATCCATTCTTCTGGCAAATATTCTATATCATCAACACCTCTAATGTTTAGAGATTTTAATTTGGAGAGAACAAAGGAGGAGGGAAGGACCTTCCAGCTGCTTCCCTCTAACCACAGTTTATCAAGATTTGGGTACAGTGGCATGGAAGTTAGGTTAGGACAATTCCGTATATATAAAGTAGAAAGACAAGGAAATGAAGAAGCTGAAGCTGAAGCTGTTTCATTCCTCCACCATCCCTTGAGATTAGGGCAATCAATTAGATAAAGACTCTCTAAGGAGGCAAAGAAGGTCGTCAATGGAGAAGCAACTGACATCATCATCATCATCTCATCACTGGCAAAGTCTTTAACCGTGTCTTCTGCTGATATGTGCTCCAAATTCCTTAACCCGAAAAGTTTAAGACTTTTAAGAAAAGGTAAATGATCCAACGGTGGAAGATGTTGGCATCTATCACAGTCAGACAATTTGAGATTAATAATATTTGTGAGAGAATGAAACCAACTCGCAAACCCCACACCCATATAGTACTTCAGGGTTAACTCTTTTAGACTTGAATGGGGCTGCAGCGCTTCCATTGACTTAATAATTACATCACTCTCCTCCTCAACCGCATCACTATTTTCTCTTTCGATGTGCATCCAATGTAAAGTCAATGAATAGAGATGTCGTTTCTCCTTCAAAACTGCACCATCATAATTCAATTCTGACACCATATCTTTCTTGTACCTCAAATTTTCGATCTCCAACTCTCCTCTTAAATTCTTCAGCTTCCCCAACTCACTGAGCCCTGCACAGTCCCTCAACATGGATTTGTTTTCACTCAAAACAAATCTACTCAAAGTACAAAGACGAGTCAATTCACCCAATCCATGAGGAATCCAAGCCAATTTATAACATCTTTTCAAAATGAGATGTCTCAAGTTGATCAATTTCTTGATATCTCTAGGCAATTCCACAAGAGAGTCACATCTTGAGAGATCTAGTACTTCCAAATTTTGAAGTTTGACTATCCAATTGGGAAGTCTCTCCATTTCTCTGTTATCACTAAGATCAAGATATCTTAAATGTATCATTGTCCAAAGACATTTTGGCAATTTTTTAATTTTCAATCCGTTCAAACTCAACGTACGCAATGACTTAAAATTTGAAGCAATTGTAACACAAAATGACTTATGGAATGACTTTCCCCACCACACTTGTCTTAAGAAAAGAAAAGTCCTTAGCTTATTTGATTCCAACAACGATTTTGGTATTTTCAATTTCCACAAATCAACACAAAAATCGAAAGATACATGAAGAAGAAGTTTTGCATCAAAATCAGTCTTATTGCGACCTATTATTATGCTTCCCTCCCCTGCCACTTTAACAGCAAGTTCATTCATGAGATCATGCATTTTACAGCTTTTTATTATACCAAACTCATCTTTTTCTTCTTCTTGGAAAAAAGATCTCCAAACTAGTTCATTACAATATTCATAACCAACATCTTCCAAGCACTCATTAGGATTTGAAGACTTAACGAACCCTTGTGCCACCCATAGCTTAATTAAATTCTCTATGGGAATCTCATAATCAGGCGGGAACAAACTACAATAAGCAAAACAATGTTTCAAATGTGATGGGAGAACATCATAACTCAGCTGAAGTGTTGGTAAAATATCATTTTCTTCTTGCCTTATTGTTGAAAGCTTGTTATTATTGAAAGTCGGCCACTCAGTTTCTGGATCTCTAGTGTACAACATCCGTCCTATGGTCCTTATAGCAAGCGGAACCCCTTTACATTTTCTAGCAATCTCCTCCCCAATCACCTTAATGGTTGAACTTGTTGGCTCTTTTCCATCTTGAAATGCCATTTTCTTAAATAAAGACCAAGACTGTTCTTCATTCAACCCCTTTAACTTATATGGTTTAGCTGTATTTGTTATCTTTGCAACTGTATCAATACGAGTAGTTATTAGTATTTTACTACCTCTTGCACCACCCATCAACAAGTCTTTCAAGGCTAGCCATTTTTCACGATTATCATTCCACACATCGTCTAACACAAGGAGGTATCTCTTCCCATCGATCTTCTTCCTAAGCTCATTTTGCAACTGATCCATGTCGAACATGTCAGTTTTTAGGATTTTCTTAACGAGTATATCCAACTGAAATGAATTAGAGACACATGTCCACATTTTTGGCTCAAAATGCTTTTGAACCTCTTCATCGTTGAATACGAGTTGGGCAAGTGCAGTTTTTCCCATTCCTCCAAATCCCACAATGGAAATGGTGGACACATTCTCTGCATTCTCTGTATTCTCTGTAGAGATGGGATGCAACAGAAGTTGAATAATTGCTCTTTTATCTTCATCTCTCCCTATTATATTATCCTCGCGGACAAATGAGTGGGTGACCCTCTCTCTTATTACAAATCGTGCATCTTCGTGGTTCACTTGTAATTGACCAAATGTTCTATTCGAGGCAATCTCATAAAGTCTCTTGTTAAGATCTTTTATCTTATGACCGATTTTTAGCCCAAAAACAAGCTGGTTTGAGCTAGAGAAGAAGATGCGTACCTGCTTTGACACTTTATTATTTCCAGGCACCATTTGTCTCCACTGAGCTTCAGTATAAAACTCATCGAGCACGTCATCAGCTTCATAAACTGCATCTTCTACGCTTTGGAGCCACACTTTGACTTGATAGTTGGCTTGTTTTTGCTCAGCATCAAGAAGAACAGCTTGGAGTTGGGCAACTTTGTCCTTCAGCTTTTGGAGGTCATCTTTGACACCCCAAAGCAAGGCAATCTCTTGGAAAACAAGGGAGCCTAACCTTCCAATGATCCCTTCTGCAACGTTGAAGAGGACTCCTTCTGCCATTGGAGAAAGGAAAAGAGTATTCACTTGGAGAAAGGAAAAGAGTATTCTTGACGAAAGTTGTGGTTTGTTGATAGAGTTATTTGGTGTGGAACAAGAGTATTAATAATTGGACAAAGGAAAGAGGAAACATACATCAAATCACGTGGGAAAGCTTTGAATATTTGGTGTGGAACAGCAAGTGGAGCAAGTTGAAGAAATGTTTGACTCAAACATGCTTTCGGTGGTTTTGACATTATTTTAATGAAGGAGTCCAATTGGTTGGTGACATGTGTGATATCCTTCGGTGTTGTTCACTTTGAGAAATAAGCAATCCGTTGGTGCTTTATGTCAACAACAATAGATGCCATTGCCAGCTATCTTCTTTCATATTAATCTCTATTTTTATATTAAATTACCAATACTTTACAATATCATGTAATGTAATGGTTTTCATATCAATTATTATCTTCTATAGGCATGCCAATTTATTAATTTGTTTTTAATTTCTCTAAGCATATCAATTATTTATTTATTTATTTATTAGGCTTTTCAAGCCAGTTATGTTTTGCATAATTTTACATTATAATTAAGATATCAACTATAACATAATGTGTGCAATTAATATTTTATATAAAGAAAGATAAAATATAATATTTTGAAGTTTGTTTTAGGTTTGACTTAAATAGACGAGAGATTAATACCTATTATGGAAAGTTTAATTTGATTGGATTAATACCCGTTACATTTTCCAAAAGGGGAATGCTAGCTATATTTCTCATTTGATCTCATCCCATCGAAATAATTTGATAATGAAACCCACTTATCTTTGAGACTTCCTTTTTAAAATTATATCTGTAAAAAAATCAACCACAAGCTTAAGCTTTCGGAGCTCATTGTTGACACCCGAAACCAATCCAATTTCTTCAAAAGCACGGGAGCCTAACCTTTCAATGATTCCTTGTGCAATGTTGAAGAGGACTCCTTCGGCCATTGCCGTGATTCAGAACAAAAACACAGAGGCGGTGAGGTGAATTAAAGTAGAGACTTGATGTGTTTTATGTCAACAACAATTCTTTCTTTCTCCTTGTTTATTGTTTCCATAGTGAACGGGTGCTTTACGTGAACAACAATAATGATCCTTGCTGCGGTTTTGGTTTCATGTCTGTGTATTATGTGCTTTACATGGCAATTCCAAAGACTATTTATTTATTTATTCAAAGCCCTCTTATGATCGTACGGCTATTGTTGATCCATATGGGTTGGAGGCCATCTTCTTGAAGGAGTGGTTGAAGCGAATTTCTTCACAAGGCTTGCTTCTTCTTGGTCCTAGTTATAATAATGGACATTCAACGATCGTGGTTAGGGCCACTTTTTTGGTGGACTTGGCCCAAATGGAGGGCATCAAGAACTGGATTATTGCTTTATGCAACAAGGGAAATGAGGCACATCAGGTACATTTATCGCCATTTATTGTGTCCCAACATGTGCATTTCTGTGGGTTTGTTTGGTCAAAATCCAAGAAAATTATCTTAATCACAACATTTGGTGTGGTGAAGATCCGAATTATTTTGGGTTTATTGTGGCGGGTTAACCTGTATGGATCATCCAGTACTGCCTACATATATCGGTAGGTAATTGCGTCGGGTTTGGCCGGTCGATGGAGGTGAGGAAGGACTTGTTGGGGGAAAATTGAATTTTGTTGCGGCAAGGGCAATTGAAAATACTATTAAGAAGCTACACAAGGCAATTTTAGGAGGGGCAGAGAAGTGGATATCGGAGTGGGAGGTGATGTTTGGGTCGGAGCTTCATGTTATGGTTTTCGGGTCACCAAAGGTGGGATTTTTATGAGACAGATTTTGGATGGGGAAGGCCCAAAAAGATAGAGGATATTGCAAAAGGTATTTCACTCACTGAGAGTAGAGACATATTGGGTGGGATTGAGGTTGGCTTGGTCCTACCAAAGCCTCAAATGGAGGCTTTTACAACTTTTCTCATCGAGGGACTCGATGCTTTTTCTTGACTTCATCTTTGTATTGTAGGTGTGTCTATATAATATTTGAGACCTTTTTTTTTGTTTTGTTTTTTTGCCCTTTTGATTTGTCAGTTTATGGTTATTGGGGCGCGAGGTGAACTGTTAAAATGGGGCCAATGAATTTATATTTTCAGTGAAGAATTTATTTTTACATTAGTGCCCCTTTTTGTTTAACTATCATCACATTACACATGCATTTTACGTGTCATCTATTTTGATAAAAGTATTATTTCTGAGAGGGAAGTGGGTTCGAAATCGAATCTAGTGCCTCAGATGTAGAAGTAAATGCTCTTAATCACTCGTCATCTATATAGTAGAGAAAAAAATGAAACATGATCGCATGATTCGAAAGCAAATTCTAGTCACTCCAATTCCCCCATTAGGCCCATAGTACCATAGACCTCACCTGCAAGGTGTTATTACTTCTCAGCAAAGAAGAACAACGATTTACGCAGAAGGCAATTGTGGGAAGGAAACAAAGTAAGTTGGTGAACCAACGGCTTTCAAAATTGAAAATCAAAGCAAGTTCTACCCGTTAGTTTTCTACTTTTGTGACACCACAACGTGGCCACCCCATAAATCCAGCTCTTGACCTATGTTCTCTCTCCATTCTGTGGGCCGCACTCCCTTCCCCCAAAATTTCACTATATATTTGGGGAAGCAAGCAATCAGCCCAGCTCTCTTCTTTATTTGTTCTCTCTAGCTAAAACTAAAAGCTTTTCTTTTCTTCATTCAAATTAAATCTTTGATTTACAATGGCACATTTGAGCGGCAGTGTGATGAAGATGAAGGTCTTGGTCTTTGCCTTTGCCGTGGTGGCTTTCTTTGCGGCTGTGTCTTCGGCCCAAGATATTGATGCTGCGTCCACTCCCGCGCCGGCTCAAGACAAAGGAGCAGCTCACTCTGTGGTGGCCTCAGGGGCTACGATCCTCTGCCTCCCGTTTTTCTTGTCCATGGTTGCTCTCCTCAACCACTAGATTTTAATTATTATTTCCACCCATTTATTACTTGCTAGTATTAATTCTTTTCGGTGATTCTTTTATTTTATGTATGTATTTATAATGCGCGTATTTTCCTTTACCATTCTTTGTTGATGTGATACCATATTATAAATACAGACAAGTATTGAAGGTTCTGAAACAAATTGTAGTTTTGGGAGAATTTGTAAGCACTGCTTAATACAACTAACACAGTCCCTCCAGGTGATTGTGAGCCATCCGGGTGATTAAATGATTTAGATTTGGTAATTAAATGATTAAATGGTTATTAGGTGATAACAGAGATCGAGAATCAAAAGAACAAACAAACATTCACACACAAATCCAACACCACAGTTTTACGTGGTTCACTCATAATTGAGCTACGTCCACGAGGTTGCTAGGTTTTTCACTAATTGAATAAGAAGATTACAAGTACAAGAGCACTCTAAGTCTGTTCCAATCTGGTTCAGAATAGGAAAAACAAAACAAAACAAAATTTAAATTTAAAAACACGAAATCAGAACGGAGGAACTTTGCTCGACACTGCAGCACAAGATACCACACTTGGGATACTGAAGCTCTCTCAACTGCTGTAAGTGCCCAACAAGACTTGAGCATACTTCGAACCATGCTCTTCCGGCATTGCAATTTTCCTGTACTCTTACAAGGTCCCTGTTCCACAAAAGTTAATATCACCTTAATAGAACTAGAATGAAGTTTATGCAAGTGTAGGATACACAGAAAATGATAACGCACGCAAACCAGGCATCAAGGATATAATATGTGAAACAAAAATCACATGCACATCATATAGAATGGAACATCATCTATCTGTTTGTGTATATAAGCCTAAATGTAGTAGCTCGAGGGTTGAGTCAATCTTATGATCAATACCCAGGTGCATTAACAGGGAACATACATTGGAATGATGGCTATTGGCTTTCTTCACTCCATCTGTTTCTTCTTCTCTCCACTGCATATTTATGGAAGTAACTAGATTGAAAGTAAACCAATGTTATTACCATATGAACAATTTTTTTCAGAACTGAATAATTGAAAAATGTTTGTTTGATCCGTGGAAATATAAAACATTTACATATGATGAAGTAGTTACCTATTATTCTTTCGCTAGTTCTTCAGAAGCCTAAAACACTAGGTCATGTTCGTTTCAGTATTTTATTTATGCTCATGAATACAGTTCAAGTGAACTTCAATTCTCCTCATGCACACTGTTCAAGGGAACTTCATTTCTCACACGGGACCTGAAAAGACAAGGAAGAAGGGAGAGTTAGCTGGGAATTGATTTCTTTAAAAAAGGACTAAGAAACAGAGATGTACAAACCCGAAAAATCTGCCCTCTTTGTTTTTGCTTTTCTGTATAAAGGAATAGTATCCAATTTCGAACTGTCTTAAAACGGTGAGGCCGCGAATCCATTCGGGCAGTGATGTTGAACTCTGAATTGAAAGCCATCGAAGTTATGTGAGGTTGTCCGCTAGTTCTTCAGAAGCCTAAAACACTAGGTCATGTTCGTTTCAGTATTTTATTTATGCTCATGAATACAGTTCAAGTGAACTTCAATTCTCCTCATGCACACCGTTCAAGGGAACTTCATTTCTCACACGGGACCTGAAAAGACAAGGAAGAAGGGAGAGTTAGCTGGGAATTGATTTCTTTAAAAAAGGACTAAGAAACAGAGATGTACAAACCCGAAAAATCTGCCCTCTTTGTTTTTGCTTTTCTGTATAAAGGAATAGTATCTAATTTCGAACTGGCTTAAAACAGTGATGCCGCGAATCCATTCGGGCAGTGATGCTGAACTCTGAATTGAAAGCCATCGAAGTTATGTGAGGTTGTCTGTCTCTTCTGGAAGGTAATGCCAAACTAAAGGAATACTCAATTTCCAATTGATAGAGAGTAGAATCTAGTGTCACTGTCTGACATCTTCAATACCAAGATGACAAAGCACTACTCTCTCCACCCAGCCATCTCGGTACACTGCATGTTCAAAAACCAATGATAACTCTCATTTAAGCATTCAAAGAATAAACCCGCACAGGAAATGATAATGCATGCAAAGAAGATGATGCGGTAAATGAGCATCAAAGACCACATTCAACAGAAAGAGTATGACATCCTACCAACAATGTACATAACCAAAGAAACGAAGAACACAATTAACTTCATTCCTGGTATATCACTCTGAATTTCATTCATAAATATCAGCCATCATGAAAAAATATAAACTACTTTCACACGACCCCAATTTCATAACCCATAAGGAAATTTGAGAGATAAAATTACCTAAATCCATCACATGTAAAACTCGGTATGAATATGTTTGGCTCTAATAATAGGAATTATTCAATTATGTAACATGGGCATATCAAAACTCGGTATATATGCTAGCAGAAGGCAGCATGATAGAAGTATCAATGTTTTAAATAACGCGCCCTCAGTTCCCTTTGTGGCGGGCCTCTTGGCGAGGCGGTCGGAATTTGCCTCGAGGCGGAGCTAATTATGAGAAAGTCACCGAAAGCAGCGTACACCTTTCTTCGAGGCTTATGCATCCCCTTAAGAGGCGTAAACACGTGGTAGTACGGTACTATTGAAATTGGGTCAGAAATGGGAGAAATTATACAATACACGTGGTAGTACGGTACTATTGTATAATTTCTCAAAGTAATCCCCTTTATCCAAAACAAAAAACAAAAACAAAAATTCATGATTTTCCTTTACTAGCACCCAAGTTCTTTTCAAGGTACAGGTCTTTCAAAGACACCAATTTCAAAAGCCGTAACGAAATTTGAGAGTTAGAATTACCTAAATTCATCACATGTACAACTGAGTCACTTATATGATCAAAGTCAGGATGCCTAATCAGTTTCTTCTTTTAATCACTGCATATCCATAAAAGAAAAATAAGAACAAAACCGAATGTTATTATCATGTAAACATACCAACAACAAAACAATGTTAGGATCAAGGGCTCATCATCTAATACATACATACCACTTTCTTGGTGACCTGCTGTTGCACAATCACAATCAAGCCATAAGAGTTTTTAGTGGGGACCCAATCTCCGCTGACCCAACCCTTAAAAATCGTAAAATTCAGCTGAAAAAGAATAAAATGAACAAGCTGAGGTTGGTTTCCATTTGAATGAAAGTGTCAATGCAAAAGAAAGAAATTAGTTAGAAAAACGCACCAGCTTCTAGATTAATGCGAATGTCTGGGATGTGAGCAATCTTGGACCAGTCCTCACCTGTTCCTTTCTGGCATCTTTGTGCTAACATGGGACATTTCCAAATGTTCAAACTTTTTAATGAGGCGAGGCAACGAAGCCCTTCTGGGAGTGATGCCAAATTAGGGCAATCCGATATCCAAAGCAACTTTAGTGATTTGAGGTTGCCCATCCCTTCTGGTAGTGAAGCCAATTTCGGGCAATCAAAAATTTTCAGATCCTGTAAGGAGATGAGGCATCGAAGCCTTTCTGGGAGTGATGCCAGATTGGGGAAGCATCGGATTCGAAGATTGGAAAGTGATTTGAGGTTGCCGATCCCTTCTGGCAGTGATGCCAATTTAGGACAATCACTAATTTCGAGGTGCTGGAGTAATGTGAGGTTGCCGATCCCTTCTGGTAGTGATACCAAATTAGGGCAATTATAAATTTTAAACTCCTGAAGTAATGTGAGGTTGGCGATCCTTTCTTCTATATCCTCAACGCTCCAAATCAGAAGGACCTTCCAGCTGCTGTTCTTTAACTCCAGTCTATCAAGATTTGGGTACAGCGGCATGGAAGTTAAGTTAGGACAATCATGTATCTCTAAAGAAGAAAGACAAGGAAATGAAGAAGCTGAAGCTGAAGCTGTTTCATTCCTCCACCATCCCTTGAGATTAGGGCAATTACCTAGATAAAGACTCTCTAAGGAGGGAAAGAAGGTCGTCGATGGAGAAGCAGCTGACATCATCATCATCTCACCACCGGCAAAGTCCTTAACCTTGTCTTCTGCTGATATGTGCTCCAAATTCCTTAACCCCCAAAGCTCAAGACGCTTAAGAAAAGGTAAATGATCCAACGGTGGAAGATGTTGGCATCTATCACAGCCATACAATCTGAGATCAACAATATTTGTGAGAGAATGAAACCAACTCGCAAACCTCGCACCCGGGTATCCCTCAAGGACTAACTGTTTTAGACTTGAATGGGGCTGCAGCGCTTCCATTGACTTAATAATTACATCACTCTCCTCCTCAACCGCATCACTATTTTCTCTTTCGATGCCCATCCAATGTAAAGTCAACGAATAGAGATGTCGTTTCTCCTTCAAAACTGCACCATCATAATTCAATTCTGACACCATATCTTTCTTGTACCCCAAATTTCTGATCTCCAACTTTCCTCTTAAATCTTTCAGCTTCCCCAACTCACTGAGCCCTGCACTGTCCTTGGACATGGAACTATTTTTGCTCAAAACAAATTTACTCAAAGTACGAAGACAAGTCAATTCACCCAATCCACCAGGAATCGGAGCCAAGTTATCACAATATTGCAAAATCAGATGCCTCAAGTTTTTCATTTTCTTGATATCTCTAGGCAATTCCACAAGAGAGCCACACCATTTGAGATCTAGTGTTTCCAAATTTTGAAGTTCGACTATCCAATTTGGAAGTCTCTGAATGAGATTTTCACTAAGATCAAGATATCTTAAATGTTTCATTTTCCTAAGACATTTTGGCAATTTTGTAATTCCCAATTTATTCAAACTCAACATACGCAATGACTTAAAATTTGAAGCAATTGTAGCACAAAATGACTTATGAAAGGGCTCCACCCAATAGTATTGCCTTAGGAAAAGAAAAGTCCGTATCTTATTTGATTCCAGCAAGGATGTCCGTCTTTTCCATTCCGACGAATCAACATTACAATCGAAAGATACATGAAGAAGACGTTTTGCATCAAAATCAGTCT